GGGATTGAGTTACTCCAGATAATACCTGTTGGTGTTGTCCCAGCATTTGTCCTTGCTCTGCCAGCGCTTTCTGGAAGGCCCCCAAATCCGCCGTCTGCATTGTAGGAAAGGTATTCTGTAACGTGCCAAACAGATTCAGACGCTCGCTGATGTAAGATACAGAAGGGGCTTTACTGAGAGAATCACAGTTCAAAGTCGTCGTCACAAAACAGGCAGGGGTCGAATCCAAAAGGCATAGAAAATACACACAAACATACATCTGACAATGCATCCAGTTCAAAAAGGGGACAGGCAACAGCGTGGTCGAAGATACAGGCAATGGGTCAAAAACAGTAATCCGAAATCAGGCAAACAAATCCAAAGGGCAGAGCAAAAAGGCAAAGTCGAGAAAACGAAAGACAAAGATCATACACAAGATAAATTCTGAGAAATGAACGCTCATTAGATCGCAAAAGTGGATACAATACCTCACAACTATTCTGAGCTAAAGCCTGGGCTTAAATACTAAACTAAGTATGTCATATGACAAATAACACAGGTGCTTCACATCAGTATTCGGGAGATCTAGAGCGCTGATAAGAGCGCGGAGTCACGTGAAGGGTCAGGTGATCTCCCAGAGGATTCTGGGAGATTGAGTCCGAATCCACCCTAGAGCTTGGTGGATGCGTGACAACCACAAAGAAAAAAACATATATAAACAGGATCCAGAAACACTGCTGCCTTCTCTGGGCCTGAGCTCACTTAAAATGGACTGAGGGGAAGTGGAAAAGTGTCCTGTGGTCTGATGAATCAACATTTGAAATTCTTTCTGGAAATCATGGATGCTGTGTCCTCCAGACTAAAGACCACTCAGCTTGTTCTCAGTGCACAGTTTAAAAGCCAGTATTCATGATGGTATAGCGGTGCATTAGTGCACATGGCATGGGTGACTGGCACATCTGTGAAGGCACCATTAATGCTGAACAATATATACATGTTTTGGCAACATATGCTGCCATCTAGACGATGACTTTATCAGGGAAGGCCTTGATTATTTCAGCAAGACAATGTCAAACAACATTCTGCATGTATTACAACAGCATTGCTCCGTATTAAAAGAGTCCAGGAGCTAAACTGGCCCGCCTGCAGTCACCACTGAAAACATTTGGCGCATTATAAAATGAAAAATTAGACAAATGAGACCCTGAACTGTTGAGCAGCTGAAATCCTATATCAAACAAGAACAGGAAAACATTTCACTTTCAAAACTACAGCAGTGTCTCCTCAGTTCCCAAACGCATCAAATTGTAATGTATTGCAGCAAGATGGTGAAAAAATGACAAGGCAAAGTAAAGTTTAACCAAACTGGCTCGACCAAAGGCTGGCGAATCAGGCTACTGAATTACATTGAAATAATGGTTGGGGGTCTTTCATTGCGCCAGCAAACTCACAAGTGCACTTCAAAAAACTTCATTCCAAAATAAAATGTAGTGAATTTCATTTAAAACATCAGTGAAATTTAGAGCTGGAAAATGTTCAGCCACCATCGTTAAATCATTCTAATTACTGTGTGCCTAGGCGGTGTAGGTAGCCGCAGTCTAAATAGCCATAATCACCTGTCCATTACTGAGGGTCAGTACTTCTGACTGGAGTAATTCCACATGTGGCATAGTCTAATAAACTGGAACATGCGTTATTATAGTAAAAAAGTAAAAATTTTAATAATAAATTGTCAACATGTGCATCCACTTTATTAAAGTTGAATGTTGCTAAAAAAATAAAACACAATGAAATCAACAAACAGTCTATGTGGTTACATGATGATTGAGTAAAATCATAAAAAGTGTGTAAAAAAATCTCAGAAAAGTTCTCAGAAGTATAAAAGGTTACATGATAAATATTCTAATGTCACATTTGAATTCACGCCTGAGGCGTCCACTTTACTGACCACATGAGCCGCAGTGTAACTTTTATTAGAGGATCCAGTCCAGATGAGCTCACTGTGCTGCATTTCATGACGTTTTTGTTGATGTTCTTCATATTTCTCTTTGCAGAACCAGCTTCAGCTCTGATTTGTGCATTCACTACGGTCAGTATTTATATCAGATTTATCTTTAGACAGGCCTGTCTCACTGATGCAGAGTCCAGCATTCTGCCTCGTTAAATACCTGATTCAACTCATCAGCTAACAAGCAAGGCCTTCATTAGCTGATCCTGGACCCCCTTCACACCAGCAGCCAGTTGCACCAGCTGAACTTAAGTTAGATAATAGTCTAGTTTGAGCGTAAACTGTCACTTCGTTCAAGTTTACGAGCTACTAAAATTTAACTGGTTGCACTAAGTAACATAAGTTCAACGTAGCTTTAAGTTAATGTAACATTTACACATAGCCTATAGTAGGTGTAAGTTCCGCTGTTAAAAATCTGTTAAAATGGCTGGTTGATTTGGTCGATGAGAAAACTAGCAAGAAAACCAAATACATCTCAATTTGCGTCAGCAATAACAGCATCTCCATCAGTGCTCAGATGTAACTAGCATAGCTAAAATTACCTGTCGGTCTCTCAGCAGATTGAAATAGCGATTAGAATAGCCGCAGCTTTGCTTCTTCACTGTTAAAATATTGTGCACGAGAACCCAGTTTGAACATTAAAAAATTTCAGCAGCAGAACAGAATAAACACGCATATGAGAGACAGACGTTTTGAGGACACTTTGAGGTCTTTTTGAATTATAGCTAATACGACTGACACACCTCAAGCGAAGTAAGCGTAGCACGTAAAGAGAAAAGCGTGAGCGATTTCATTGCACGTGGAGATCATGCGTGTACTGTTTCCTGTTTATGTCGGGTAGCGTTAACTGATTGGCTGCAGAGTGAAAACGTCATTCTGTGTGACAGTGTTTAGGACGGACTTTATAGCCCAACTTACGTTCAGCTGGTGCAACTGGCTGCTGGACACTTCATGCATCTTAAGTATCAGGATTATATCTGGATGAGGCCAAACCAGATCAACAATGCAAGTGCAAATGCATTTAAAGCAGATTAAATCTGAATCACTTCTTGAGGATAAATGTGGTTCTATATAGCACCAAAAAGGGTTCTTTTGTTGTTCCAAAGCAGAAAAAACTTCAAGGTTTCAAAAAGGTTCTGCATAACACCATAACAGCAGAAATGGCTCTATATAGTCCCAAAAAAAGATTATTTGGCTTGTAACAATAGCAGAACCCTTTTTGGTGCTATATAGCACGCTATCAAAAAGGTTCTGTATTGAACCATCTACAGCACATTCTTCATCAATCTGAAGAACGCTTTTCTGATGCAAAGAACCCTTTCATTATGCAAAAGCTTCTGTGAGTGTTTATGGTTCGATGTAGCTCCATTTTCTTTACCCTTGAAGAACCACCTTTTGTAAGAGTGTATACAACACATTCTATATCACTCTGAAGAACGATTTCACCATGCAGAGAACCATTAAGGCAAGCAAAGGCTTCTTTCAGTGATCACTATCATTTATCCATACACATCTTCTGCAGGTTGTATGTGGTTTTATATAGAACCAAAAAGGGTTCTTCTAGTGTTACTAGCTTGACATTATAACAATAGGAGAAAAATAGCTTCAAGGTTTCAAACAGGTTCTATATAAAACGACACACTCTTAGCAAAAAAAGGTTCTAAATAGTACCAAAAAAGAGTTCTTTGGCTTGTAACAATAGTGGAACCCCTTTTGGTGCTATATAGAACCCTTTTCAAAAAGGTTCTATTTAGAACCATCTACAGCACAATCTCCATCAATCTGAAGAACTCGTTCTTGATGCAAAGAAGCATTTAATCATGCAAAAGGTTCTTTGACTATTCATGGTTCTATGTACATCTTTCTTAAGATTGTATTTCTCCCGCTAGCGTCTGTCCAGCTGAAGGTAACGCTCTCCAGCGCTAACCTTATAGATGTTATTGATGTTGCTCAGTGCAATATTTTGCTTGAAAATGATAAACAAATAGATAAACAGAAGCTGGAAATAACACTTACCAGGAGAACCTTAACGGAGCTCACCTTTTAAAAGCTGTATCTGAATACATTCTTAAAGTGATAGTACTCTAGAAAAAAGAAAATGGTTCTATATAGAACCATGAACACTCAATGAACCCTTGGCATGGTTAAATGGTTCTTGATAGAAAATGTGCATGAATGTGCTTTAGATTGTTCTGTATAGAACCTTTTTAAAAAGGGTTCTATATAGCGCCCAAATGGTTCTTCTATTGTTATGATCCATCTACAGCGCATTCTCAATCAGTCTTTTTAACGATGCAAAGAACCGTTTCATGTGTCATGCTAAGGGTTCTTTGAGTGTTCATGGTTCTATATAGAACCCTTAAAGAACCATCTTTTTTAGGAGTGTAGTAACAGAACTTATAGCCACAGCATTATGAATCCTTATCAGACATTTGTAAAAGATTTAAAAGTGCTGTGAATAATTTATCGCTTTAATGTGTTACCATTGACTCCACTAAATCTACATCAGTGAGACCCGCCTGTCTTTGAAGCTTCCTACACATTGAAGAATTACGTTTCTCCAAGGGTTCTTTAGTAAAGACGGTGGTTCTATATAGAACCATGAACACTCAAAAAAACCCTCTGCATGATTAAATGTTTTTTTTTTTGCATGGAGAAATGGTTCTTCAGATTGAATGTGCTGTAGAAGGTTCTATATAGCACCTAAAATGGTTCTGCTATTGTTGCAAGCTTGACATCATAAAAATTGCAAAACCATTTTTGGTGCTATATAGAAGCATTTTTAAAAAAAGTCCTTATATAGAACCATATAAACTGAAGAACCATTTCACTACATAATGTGTTATATGGTTCTATATAGAACCTTTTTGAAAAGGGTTCTATATATTGCCAAAAAGGGTTCTTCTGTTGTACCCAAGCTTGACATCTTAACAACAGAAGTACCCTTTTTGGTGCTTATATAGAACCTTATACAACACATTCTAATCAATCTGAAGAACCATTTCACCATGCAGAGAACCATTTAAGCATGCAAATGGCCGTATGAGTGTTCATGGTTCTACATAGAACCATTGTCTTTACAAAAGAACCATCTTTCAGTGTGTAGATACAAATTTAGATGACTGTATTAAAGGTTCACCACCTGTCAGAAATATTTGGACAGTGTGCTTTTCTCTGATGTTTGAACTTTTCACTGTTACTTTAACATGAAAAAATCCCTGTTATTTATCATGAATCTGATGATTTGTGTTTACTTATCAATCAATCAGTTTCAAGTTCAACAAAGTATCTTCTCAGTATGAAGAGCAGGTTTTGTCTAAATGATGATTTTTCCAAACTACTGTTTACTGTTTAAAGCTCATATTAAAACTAGTTTGGCCCAAAAGTGCTTTAAACACCTGAAAGGTCTGAGTGCTGAAGGAAACATGAAGATTTCTATTCAAATCTAAAATCATTTGGAACGTGTCCTCAAACGTTGTTAACACACTGTGAGCTTATTGGGCTTTTCAGCATTGATTTGGTAAAGATGCAAAAGTAATCTACAGTAAATACACACAAGAAAGTCACTATAAATCCTCTGAGGTCACCCAAAGCAAAACCAAACACCAGGAGCGTCCATCGCCGGATTAAGTGTCAGGGTGATGCTGAGGGACATGTCTGGGCTTCAGTCAGTGCAGCAGTGGGTGTGGTGGGGCATTTGGGTGGGTCAGTAACCCGCTGCCATCCCTTTCTTCCTGTAGTCAGAAAAGGCGCTGATGCAGCCGTGCTCCTTCTCCACAGCGTTCACCACGTTCAGGAAGAACTCCCGGCCCTTAATGATGTGGCCTCGAGTCCTCATCTCCTCAATCAGTGACTGCAGGACAAATACAATATGGCAGCATTTTATGGACTTTTTATCAACTTTAAATGCAAAACACTATTCAAACTGTGTATTTACAGTTGCATTTCCCATGTGAGTACATCAGTCAAGACTTAAATTCAAATGCTAACTGATATTAGCGTTTGCATTTCTATGTTTATAATGGCTGTTAAAGTTAAAGTGGAAAAGCAAAGTGCTTTTGTGCACTTGCATATAACATGATGCTCATATGTTTCATATCAAAATACTCTGTTATCTTCATCACTGCTTTCCAAAACCGCTGCAGCAACTTCAGCAGCTGTAAACTCTCTGCACGGCATTTCATGTGTCTCTGATGTGGACTGAATGAAGAATGAAGGGTGTCCGGCGTGATGGTCAGTCCTTAGTGATTTCCTGAATGTCCAATGGTCAGTTTCACACAGAATGTAGACACACATATCCACCAGTTCCACATGGTGAAAGGCAGATGACGTGTATCTCAGCCCCTCTTCATAGCCTCATAAGTCTGGATTAACTTTAACAGCCTTTATACTCAGAAATACAAATGCTAATACACATTTTGCATTTTAATTTGAAGAAAAACAAGTCTACAAAATGGTAGGTTTACAGGAGAGGGCAAAAACATTCTTTACTTTCAACGAAAGTTAATGTGAAGTGATTTTATTTAAAGCAGTTTTGGGGCATTTCTATTGGTCCATTCATCATAAAATTGTCACACAATGTAAAGAGCAGCTCAAATTATGCAGAAAACTAAAAACTGCCAAAAATGGTATATTAAAAGCAATGCATATTAAATGTAATTAAATGCACATTACATATAATTAAGTGCAATATGTAACTGTGATTGTCATTGTTATGCTGCACCCATTTTCATGATTGCACTAAGCTGATTTCCACAGTAGAGTTTGGAGTAATGAGTTGTGAGAAGACGCCTCCTTACTGGCTGAACACTGATACAGTAAATATAAGGAGGCAAAAATATTCAGAAATATAGAGCCAAAAAGAAGAAAGTTATTTGATGAGAGAGGACAGTGCGTTCTGTCAGCTTTGACTTCACTAGTGTTTCAGCTGTGTTAGTGATGTTAGACTGTGTGTGTAGTGTGAAAGGCAGAACTGGTACCTGCTGGAATCCAGGCTCAAAATTCACTGAGTTCTGGGCATCTACAAACACCACCTTTTCACTGATGGCACCTTTCAGACTCTTCCCAAGCCACAGGTGGTTCATTACTGACTGAAATAAAGAAATAAAAGAGAAAGAGAACAAAAAGTTCAGTGAGTTTATGCTCATTAAAACTTCATCAGTAAATCAGCATCACTGATAATCTGCTGAAGGCCATCTAGATTTGTACCAATAAACATGAAAACTATGAATGCATTTAGTTTAAATGTGAGTATTAATGAGCTGAGCTTGTGATTGTTGCATTGCTGGCAAATATAAAACGGTCCTAAAATCTGATTGGCTGAGCCATGTTTGAAGTTGTTGTAAAATACTCAATATGCACACACCGAACGCCTCGCAGGAACTGAACTCTGTATCACTGCGCCACGAAAAACCCTTGTGCTGTTAAAGGAATAATCTTTAACTCTAATGCTGCTCACACGGACCACCAAGTGTACTGGTGAAGAAGTTCTGTTTAAACTGAGGGGCTGATAACTTACTTTCTTATCTAGAACTAGGCTGGTCAACTAGCTAACAGGCTAAAAGATAGCAAACATGCTAAACAGCTCCATCACTAAAATCACAGACTTGAATTAAAGCACTTACAATATGATTAACTGTAAAACTGCAATATAAAAGGCTAGAAAATGTCACTTGAATGTCTTGAATGTCAAACCCAGGCTGTCAAATGGCTCCATACTCCCTAAATAGTGCTCTAGGAAAGTTAAGAAATTCTAGCCTCTATAGCCAAACAATGCACTGGTAACACTTTATAATAAGGGTACATGAACTGGCAGTAATTAAGGCATTTACTAATGAATAACTAATCAGAAGGTAATGACTCATTAATCAGGAACAAATGAATAAGTCATATATTAACAACCACAAGACTAAATTACTAACGCATGTACTAATGAATGAAGATGAAGGTAATAAAGTTTTTATTCAGTGCCTGAATTTATTAGGAATTCATGTGTTAATTAATGTTGTCACAAGATCCCCCTGAGACACAGTGCTCTGGAATATTATGCCTATCAAAGTCAACAGTTTTTTCTTATAGCTCCATCCTCTCATCATCTTGTCCTTCTTCTTCATCTTGTTGTGTAAGCAGCCCTTGTATTTGCCTGTTTCTATCTGTCAGGTCTTCAGTTTATTGTTTTTGATTTATGTTACCTCGTCTGTTTCTACCCACCTAGTGACTGTTCAGTAAAATTAAAAGCTTACACTGACATTGTTTTGCAACTAGTCCTCATTTGTGACAGTTGCCATAGTTTTAATTCATCTTTCATGTTAGTAATATGACATGTTTTAACTCCTGTATTGATACACAGTGCCTCATGAGGGAATAGTTTAGACTACAGTTACCACTGAAATCAGAAATGAGTTGATTATTGGAGTGTCTTTCTCCTGGGGTCTTAAGAAGCCTTAATTGTATGCACATTTTTGTGCTTTCCCAGATCTAGTACACCTGATTGAACTCAATTGCTAATTTACAAGCTCCTGTTGTGCTGGTTGAGGTGTGTCAGAGTGAGAAAAATACAACACTATGCAGTGTCAATTCTCAATTCACTATAAAGAAAGCAGTGATTACTGATAACTCATGATGAATTCATAATGTTTGTGCCCCCTAAAGTAAAGTGATGAACCAGTCACACTTTATAACTCATTAAATACTGATTCTTCATGATGAGTTCATGTTTGTGCCACTGAAAGTGATGAGCGAATCACACTTTATTACTGATTATATACTGATTCTTCATGATGAGGTCATGAGCTAATAAAATAGCAGGGGTTAATCAATTTACTTACCAAAATGACAGTCATTCTTTTGCCCTCTCAAGAACAGTGATGAAGGATAAGTAGCTAACTACAATATGGCTCATATGAAAACATGACATTGACGAAATTCACAGGAATAAAAAAGCATATTTTATTATCATCTTATGACTTCTACACAATACACAGAACTAGAGCACGTGAATCTGTCACTGTAACACGGAAAATGAAGAGAAACCAACACACACTGGTTCTGTAGTTCCACAAACATCTGTAAAACGGACAGAACTGCTAGCTAATTAAAGTCACGAAGATATTCATACTGCAGCGGTGTTTCTAAATAACTCACACAAGCTGAAGATTCGAGTCTGTGACTCAGCTTTACTGACAAACTCAGAACGGAGCACAAAAGAAAGGGTCGAATATGGCGCTAAGTTAACGCTCGGCAGTTAGCGCGCCCCCTCGCTGTCTCGACTCAGTCTGTTCACTACTAGGCCCTGTGAAGCGCTGCCACCGCACACACGGCCCTTCACAATAAGAGTCCCTGTCAAAGGAGGAATAACTAATGAACCAAGCAGCATAAAATTAACATGATTTTAACCAGACAGAATAGACGTGCCTGACGCCACATATTACTACTACAATCACACGACGCTCGTGAGAAACACAAACACCTTACTATTAAATCCAAAAAGGTTTATTGCAAATAACTAAGCACCAAACCAAATATTTAAGCTACTTTATAACGAATTTAGAAATAATAGTTCCTGCAAATCCGTTATGTTTTACCACAGATAACAGCTTCATGTTTTACACTTTAGTCTAAAAAGAGGTGAGGCATGAACATACATACCAGCACTCACAACACTCAGACAACAAGACCACGTGTAAATATTATATCTGCAATGTAAATTACGTATATAATACAGTATGCATATGCATAACTCACCTTTAAAAGTAAGAAAAATGCGAAATATTGCAAAAAGGCGAAAAGATAAATATTGAATTTTTTTATTATTTCAAGTATTTTCATTTGCTGCTCTTAAACATTGTACTAGAGATATTCACTCAAGACTCTATGGTCGCTTGACATATAGCATTTAACGCAATTACTGCCATTTACTGGCAAAGAAAAATAGCAGTCATTTCCAGCTGTGGAAATGGTTGAAGTGTTACATTGCAAAATGCTGTGTTTCCATTAATAAAACATTTAGATATAGCACATTTTTAAAAAGAATAATAGATGTATAATGGGAAACACATTGTCATTTTCTGAAGGTGGTATTTCTCAGAATAACTGTGGCGTATATTAAGATAATTCACAGTTTTAATTAAATCAAATGCCTATTTTCAGTAAATAAACTAGTTTACAGTTTATTAAACATACAACAGTTTATGTTTCTGTTGTAACAGTATGACATTGCAGTATGACATAGGTAATCATAAATTGCATGAATAGAATGAAACTAACAGAGCTTCTGGCAGTTCGCCAATGTGTACTAACATTCTTTTTGTATGCTTAATTAACACATGAATTCCTGATTAATTCAGGCACTGAATAAAGCCTTAATTACCTTCATCTTCATTCATTAGTACATGCATTAGTAATTTAGTCTTGTGGTTGTTAATATATGACTTATTCATTTGTTCCTGATTAATGACTCATTACTTTCTGATTAGTTATTCATTAGTAAATGCCTTAATTACTGCCAGTTCATGTACCCTTATTATAAAGTGTTACCAATGCACTACTTGTTGACTAGTAATGTGTCTGAATCCCAAATGACTATTTCTTAGCTGTATTATGCTCTGTTAGGATGCAGGAACCAGTATTTAAATTCCTATGTAGTGCACTTTGTAGGGAGCAGGGAGCTGTTTGAGATCCAGCCCCAGTGTGAAAAGTGGGCGCCGCTGGATTGGTGCTAAATAAGACTCATGGTGGTAATTTGGTGACCAAAAAGTACCTTCAAAGCGAAGGTTTTTACATAACAATGCTGTGTTATGATTTGTTTATTGTTGTACAACAATAAGTTAAAAAGTTGACAAAATGACTGGCGTCTAAACATTTTACTCCTCGTTCAGCAGTCCATGGTTGCTTGGCAGCAATACTGTACTCTAAGGGACCTACATTTCTTTGTGAAATACTTTTAGTTTATGTTGATTATTACTGATAATAACCTAAACTATTTTATCATATTTTATGTTGGCCGGTGTTTAATAAAAGCAATAAGCCTCAAGAGGGCATGGGTTACAGTCATGGGGAAGGGGATTTAACTTCGCTTCAGAGTAGACATTGTGCCTAAGAACACCCTTCCCCGTGATAAAATCAAAGTAATGCACGCCCTCTTGTGGCTTAGTGCTTTATTACACTTTTTTAAAAAAGCACTGCTGGCTTATTCCCTTTTGGCCTGTACTGTGTGTATGAGTATTTCTTTTTTTGACACATGTTTGTTAAGATTTTATCAAAATATACATAAGTAATGCACATTAATACACATTATAAAACATCAAAAAGAGGCCAAAATGGTTTACTGTGGTTGCTAAACTCTTTTTAAAGGAATGTGTTTAAAGATGAATGCACAATACTACACCTTTGAACACACTCCGTTGATAAGAGTTTTGTAACCATAGACATTTTTCCCCCTTTTTGATTTTTGGAGTGTCAAAGAAAAGAAACTGATAAAATCACTGTAACGTACGGCCTCAAGCAGCTTATTGCTTTATAAAATGGCAGACAACAAAAAATATGATAAAATACACAAATTTACAGTAAATAATTAATGTTATTCTTTTTTCCAGCTACTAACAATGACTTTTTCTCTCAACTGAAGCAGCTAATTATTTTTTTCAAGGATATACATTTGTCTTACAATTTCTGCCCACTATTCTGTAGAAAAATTCTAAATCTTATACCAATTTCATATTGTTGCTTTTTTGCTGGCTTTTAGAATAATCCTTGTTAAATAGTTGTCTTCATCCATAACGTAGTCATTCACATCTTCAAGGTACATAACTTTGCATTCATAATGAACTAAAATAACTCAGATTGTCTTTAACCACATCACAGACATTTTCCCAAAAACAGCACAATTTATTACATTTACAAAATTTGTGTTTGTCTGATTGGCCTCCTCACCCCCCACATCCTCCAACATGGCTATCGATGACCAGTTTGTTCACTATTTCATGTGTTACAAAATAGCAAATCAAAATTTTTCATCCATCCTTTCCATATCCTTTAAGTTAGTGCTTGCGTGTTGTGTTACACACATTTTGGCTGCTGTTCCTCTGGAATATCAGTGCTTATTTTATCAGTACTTCTAATATTGAAACCTTGTGTGATTTCAATAACTGTAAATCTCATGTAAAGCTATTTATCTCCAATTTTCACTAAAGACAGGCTGTGTTCCGGTAAGTGAAGAGCAGAGCTGTGTTTCTGAGAGTCACTGTTATGATGTCTGATGAAATGCTGTGCAGAATCTGATCATGGCACTCTGGCACCTCTCTGTGGTGGGTTTGTTATGCAGCGTTATCCAATTTATTACAAGGAAATTACAAAGTGCTGTTTAATATGAGCTCTAGTTAGAACCATCTACAGCACATAATCGATCAGTCTGATCATGAATCATGAAAAGGGTTCTTGGAGTGTTCGTGATTCTATATAGAAACATCTTCTTTATCAAAGAATGCTTAGAGAACCATCTCTTTTGTGCGTGCAGGATTAAATCACTCAGTGTTTCTGGTTATCTGTCATGAGATTTAATCAAAATGTTTGAAATATGAGGAATTTTTTGGGAACAAGAGTAACTAAATTATAAATAATATGCCATGCTATGATTAATCTATTACATCATTTCTTCCAGCATGCTTCTTTTTTCAGAATTGGTGATTAAATGAAAAACGTCGACCTGCAATATGGTTCTTCAAGGGTTCTTTAGAAAGGACAATGGTTCTGTATAGAACTATGAACACTCAAAGAACCATGTGCATGCTTAAATGGTTCTTTGCATGGTGAAATGGTTCCATATGGCACCAAAAAGGGTTCTGCTATTGTTACATGGTTGACAACGTTACATTAGAAGAACACTTTTTGGTGCTATATAGAACTTTCTGACTGGTTTGTACAGGATAAAGGATCTCTGTGATTTCCCCTAAATTAACCCAAATAGCCCGGATCAAAAATCATCATGTGGATGTATACGTGAGCATTATGCATTATAATTCAGCTTCATCTTTTTTCTATTAGCCAGTTTTGTTATTATGTTACTGAGATGTGGATTTGAGCAAGACTGCTATTACTGAGAAGCTCTGAGTTTGGAGAATTATTGGAGGATGTATTACTGAGAGATTTCTCTTTTAAATCTATTGTTTTAATCATGTTTTTCATTTATATTCTCCTTTATTTTAATTTTAAATCTTGCTGTATTTTCTCATTTGTGAAGCGCTTTGAATGACAGCAGTGTTTGAAAGGCACTAGATGCCTGAGCAGACTGTAAATACTTCGGACATGGCAGATTCATACTGGATTAAAATCATAGAGTCAGTAATCACTCAAATTACACCACGTCCCAGGTCATATTAATCCAGCTCCAATAGGGCTCTATATGCAACCAAACTGGCTTCAACATGTATATATGTATATATGTATGCTAGAGCTAACTGCGTTAACTGTGTTAGAGCAAGTGTCCTGTAGGTGGTGCTAACCTGTGCAATGGCAGTGGTGATCATGCTCCCCCCAGATCCACCAATAACCAGTATCTTCTTTCGGTCCTTGGACTGCAGAATGGTGGGGGCCATGGAGGACGGAGGCTGCTCCCCTAAAAAATAAAGCAGGTTCATCATTATAGCATAACTCTAATCTTATAGAAATGGCGGTGCTATATAGAACTATTTTCTTTACTACAAAACTCTTGAAGAACCATCTTTTTAAGAGCATAGAGTGTTTTTATAATGTTTTAAGATGTGTCTCATCTGGTGAGCTGTTAAATCTGTTGTACTGCTACATCAGAACCAGGAAATACCCCCAAAAATCTACACAAATGAGCAGCTAACTGCTAACAGGCTAATAACACACTTCCCACCATAAAACATGTTTGATTCTGTCTGTCACTCCAACTCCAGTCTCTCTCTCGGCTGCTCTCAGATTCTTTATCCTCTAAATGGGTGGTATTTGAGCAACTGTTACTGAAACAGCCTGTACTGTGGTGGGTTTCATCTGTAGCCAGATTACTAGCTACATTAGCATTAGCATCGCCTGGCAGGGTAACCACAACAAGGCACCACACAACAAGTCTATTTTTTATCTTTCTGTCACTTCAACATTAGTCATTCAAATCCGTTATCCTCAAAACAGGCGTTTTAATCATCGGTTCTAGTGAACTGAGCCCACACTGCAGTGGGAGGCACTGAGCACTCGTGTTACCTTAGCCCAGGACTACAGAACAGCTTAAAGTACTAAAGAACAGGTTCACACAGATTCGGCTTTCTTACTTCACCATCAATCAGTCAAATTTGCTCTCGCTGTTGTAAGTTTTTATCATCTATACTTGTGATAGCAGAGCACCAGTTAGTCAAATTAAAACATGCGCTGGGTGTTTGGATCTCTTCAGCTATGCTAAGTTAGGAGTGAGGAGCCGGTTAGTATTAGCTTAGCTAGGAGGCTCCAGCTCCAGACACCAGAGAAGAGGTTTAATTTTGGCTTTCTGTCCCTCTAACATCAGCCGCTTGACTTCACTTCCTCAGATTTGTGTCATTATCATCTAAACTTGTGTCAGTAAAACATTTGTTAGTCAGAATTGAACCTGTTTTGTGGTGCACAGCATGCTAGCTCAGCTAATGCTAACCAGTTACTCTCTCCTGGTCATCAGTGCGGTTGAGCATTTAGAAATTGGTATTAGATTGAAGCTTTGACGTTCATTGAATGGTGCATTTAAAATAGTGCTCTGCTTATTCATTTGCCGTCCGTGTGTGTGAACTGAACTTACTTGATTGTTTCTTAAGTTTGAAATAACGCAACAGGATGTGGTGGCATAATACCGACATAAACATAGAACCAACCATAAAACCAGTTAGCTAACCGTGCTAAAAAGCTGGGCTGAGCCAGAGCCAGTTTATGAGGGTTCTGGCTACTTCCTGTTTCCTTTGTTATATCAAAAACATGACTACAAAACAGCAGAGGGAGCCCGCGAGCGCGTCCTCAATGAATGGGGGCGAAAGGAGCTAAACGGCTAAAAGGGAAACGTTGAAATAATTTCTAATTATTAATTATAATTATCTAATTATTCTAATCACTTGCTTTCCTTTAATTTTAAAAAGCAGAAGGATGCATTTCACTAAAAAAGCAAAGAAAATGTACCTGTCTTTCTTCCTTTTTTCTACAGCAAACGGGTTTTGGGTAGCAGGACGCTAACATTACTGCTACTGAGTGCTGATTTGTTGGCGAGTGGAGCAGCTCATTGGCTGTTCACACTCACTGATGTACATACATAAGCGTTGTTTAAAACTCCTATAACTCTAGTTTAAAAGCGTTTAAAAATATCACAGCGGCGTTAAAATATTTTATCATTTCATATTAAAAATGTTTAAGCATTTATAAACTATGATTTTGCTCAAATGCTCCATCTGAACAGATTCATTTTGGACTTGCTCAGAAGCGCCCTCTAGTGTTTGAGAAACCTGGGAGACATTACAGAGTAGTAATTCTTCTCTCTACAAGCTCTCTGGCTGTTCCCACTTTTTAAATGTTCTGTGTGGGTTACCTTCTGCGCTCAGAACCATTTGGCCCATGCAGTGGACAAGAGGCCAGAGAGCAGCGTCAGCCCGTCACACAGAACCTTTGTCACTGTGCACTGATGGGTAAACCTGAGCACAGATACAACGGTTCTCACCTGCAGATATAGAATTGGCTCTGCCGCAGAAATCTTCCAGCTCGTTATTCAGGATGATGCCTGTTCTACGAGAGAGCACAAACGATCCAAAACTGCACACAGAAACAAGAAACACAAACAAGTAAACAAACAAATAAACATATGGTCAAGAATAGCACTTGAAATCTGCAAATATGACTGATTAAGAATACTGGGCCTCATTCTCCAACATCTACGTGTAGATTCTGTTCTTACCTAAGAACAAACCCCGAATAAGAAAACATTGGTGAATGTCAGAACCTTAATGAAAACTGCATAATTGGGTTTTAAGAAGAAACTTCTTCTTAAGAGCGGTTGGAGAATGAGGCCCAATTTTCTTAAATAAAACTCTTGAAAAAATGTAGGAAGTTCTCAAATATTCTTTAAAGAAAATCTTTATTGTTTTTTTTACGTTAAAAGCTCCCTCACAGAAAGTTATTACATTAAACTGTTAAGAAGACATTGCCTGATGTCTGAGACACTGTTTTATGATTTGGGCCTAAAACATCTAGTTAATCAGCAATAAAACCCTAGTAATATCTCCAGTATGAATTATGTGATTTATAATGGACACCCACATGTGGTTGATGGTGCTAGTGACAGACACCGCAGAGCCGTCGGCTGCGAGGACAGAGATGTGTGTGGTCCCGAAGCGGTCGGTGGACGGTGTGATGTTGTAGAAGGAAGCTGGGTGTGTGGAGTGATCCCTGATCATCGCCCTGACCTCGTCAGCAAAGCTGGAGTCCATCATGTTGTCAACCTAAGAGAGGAAACATCCCAGCAGGAAGTCTGAGCAGCAGGTTTATTCAGTCCGATAGTGAAGACAGTGACTAATGTCACACTTAACACCACTTTCCTGTTATCCTCTAAGAGCTTTATCCTGTTTGTTGAGTTCAAGGCCGTTCGCTGTCACTGAGATAAAACTTTCACAGCTTCCAAAAAAGAAATTAAAGCGATAGTTTGGCAAAAAAAAAAAAACTCCCCAGTTCAAATGTAGTCGCTCAGCCAAGACTTGTTTGGTGTCTGAGGTTTGCTTCTTTAGTTTTAGCACTGGAGCTACGAGGCTAATGTAGCTAACAAGTAATGGAAGCTTAGACCCACCAATTAGCATGATGCTAACTGCACGCATAAATCTCTATATGGAAAAAAAATACATTTGAAATATACTCCCAAAAAATATGGTTCTTCAAAGGTTCTTTACTAAAGACAATGGCTCTGTATAGAACCAAAAAGGGTTACGTTACTGTTACAATACGAGCGTGTAACAATAGCAGAAACCTTTTTGGTGCTATATAGAACCCTTTTCAAAAAGGTTCTGTATAGAACCATCTACAGCACCATCTTCCTAAATCTGAAGAACGATTTCACCATGTAGAGGACCATTTAATCCTTTTGATGGTTCAATATAGAACCATTTTTGTTACTAAAGAACCCTTGAAGAACCATCTTTTTGAAGTTTATACATTTCAAATGCATTGCAGTTGATGCTGAAAAACATTTCAAACACTAAAATGTATTTCAGAATATACTGCCATATTAACCAAATATATTTTAAAATACATTAAATTCAAAATGTATGAGGAAATATTACACATTACTAAGTTCTTTTTTTACTCACTTTTGAAGTGTTTTCGTTATATATTTTATTGATATTTTATGCCGATTTCCATTTTAGCTGTTATTTTGATTTTCACTTGTTTTTGTTGATAAATTTCATTTGAACTTTGTTTAATTTTCTCAGCTACATTGTAAATGAGGGTCACCCTCAATGTACTTCTGAGTTGAAATAAAGGATGATTGATTAACTGTTTGATTTTGGTCCCAAAATTCTTCTTTCAAAGAGACACCATCAGCTTGTTCACCTAGTTTCTTGAGCGATTTAACATCAGAAAGCAGATCTGCAGTGAGAGAATAGTTTCAGATGAGTCCTCAAACAAAACAGGACAGAAATAAACCCTGATCTGAGTCCACGATTCACAGAGAGAGTCTAGCTACTACAGACATACTGCAGAGGAATACTAACAAGGTTCTGAGATTGTTCTTACGTTCTGAGGGCTGTAATGAGGGTCCTTTATCTTCATCCTTTGTCCATTTGCAAACTTGGCTGCCTCTATGTAGCGATGGAGGGTCAGGGCTGTCTGGTTACCCTGAAGGGATGCTGGCGAAAGGCCAAAGCCTGGACATCACACAAAGCTCAGAGTCAGGACTGTTTATAAAAACATGAGCTTTATCAGCTTCATAATGTTTAAACTGTTCAACATTTAACAATATATTAGAAAAGGAACAATTATTTAGGCATAATATACTCTTCTGCACAGCCCCAACATGGCAATACACACTTAAACATGATGGTTCTTCAAGGGTTCTTTAGTAAAGAAAATGATTCTATATAGAACTATGAACACTTATAGAATCTTTTGGGTAACACTTTCTATGAATGTCACCTTTGTAAGCTTCTATAAATGCATTCATAACATGTTATAATGCATGCATAAGACATTATAAACATAGCTATAAATATTTATAAAAATGCATTATATGTTATAGCCATGTTTATTATGCATTATGAATTGTTACCATAATGCATTATAAGTACTGATCATAACAAATTATAAGAGCTCATAAGTCGCATTTGTCTGCTCTAAGTAAAGTGAAGCATACTATACTAAAGCCTCCTCCATTGTTAAGAGTGAGGCTTCAAGTTGAAGTATTTACTGAGGAATTTACTGAAACACTAAAACATCACAATACAGCACATTACAGGCTTCAAATGTCAGAGTTTAAACTAGTGCTGCCATCAGTGTTTTACCCAACATGGGAAAGTCAATGTACACCACCGTTAGCTTGGTATTTGTCTTTACGCTCTCCAAGCTGGGACTGACTTCTTTGGCACTGACATTATAACATGTTATTAACACTATTTATAATGCATTATATTAACAATTCATAATGTATAATGAACATGGCTATAAAATGTAATTCAGTGTAATTCTTTTTTATAAATATTTATAACCATGTTTATAATGCCTTATGAATACATTATAACATGTTATAAATGTGTTTATAGATGCTTACATAGAAAGTGTTACCATCTTTTGCATAAAGAAATGGTTCTTTGCATGGTGAAATTGTTCTTCAGATTGATGGAAAGTGATTTGTATCTAAATGAATCTTTAAACCTGTAATGTTCTGATCTCACAAATATTTCATTTGATTATGATTCTTTAGCAAAGGAATTTAGGAATTTCAGCACAATATGACTTAGATCGATTATTTTGGTGTGATTCATAGTCTATATAAAATGTCGCTGATAACAGTGGTGGAATTTAATAAATAAAAACAACATTCACATTTGAAAAGAGCCCTTGGCTAAAAATTCACACAAATAGTTCACACTTAACTGATTTTCATCAATTATATGATTCCAAAATCAACACAGTTAAACCAGCACCTTTTAGATTAAAGCATATCACTGCTATTCAGATGTTTCTCCAGAGCTAAGAGACCAACCATGCATGATGTTGAGAATAAGGCTGATCATAGCGCCCCCTGCTGGCAAAGGAGGGATGTGCATCTTGTATTCTCCGAGCAAGACCGTCCGCGCTTCGTCCACTCTGACCTCAAAGGACTCCAAATCCTCCAAAGATAACTGTCCGCCTGTGAAACACATTTGAAAGCATTCTGATGCTGCTTCATGCTGCATGGACACTGATAACACCTCACTTTTCAAACTATTTTTAATCCAAACATTCACATATCCTGGTTTATAATAACTGACCATATTAAAGCTTAATCAGGTGTATTTAGAGAAAAACCATATCACTTGTGCATACATATACATAAACACCATCTATCGAGTTTGGACTGCGATGCTGAATTAAAGTTTAATTTGAGCTTGATTTTCTGAGTTGTATGAATGCATTAAATGCATAATGCATTAAATCAAGCTGACTATTCAGAGCTTCATCGTCATGGTTGCAGCCAGGGCTGGATGATGTGGCAAAAAAATCATACCACGATACTTAAAAGACATTTTCACAGTGTGCGATATGTATCACAATATTCTCACACACACAATACACTAGTAGATCTAGTAGTGCACTGACACTTGTTTATACACCCATGCATATAAAAAGTGTTAACATGTGTTATCATTTACAGTGTTTAATCTCTTGGTTCATTCACTGGATGTGACATGCACCACTGCATTGTCACCTGCATAATATTTATGCTATTTTATCTATCTATCTATCTATCTATCTATCTATCTATCTATCTATCTATCTATCTATCTGATAGCAAATATGAACAATATAAATGAGAGCAAATAGAAGTGAAACCAGAATATTACTGAGTGCGGTTACATGCACTCAACAATCAGATCATAGTCGGATTTCTGCAGTTATATTATTATTCAAATAGTCATTTAAACAGTGTACTATGATCTAAAAATCCAATTAAGAAATCCAATAAAGAGAGCTGGATTTTAGCCCAGTAATCAGATTTCTCAGTGCATGTAAACTCTTACTTTGATTTCTTTCGTATTTCTCAGTCTGCACATGTGCGAAAACAGACCAGAAATAAGTCAGCAGCGTTGCCACGAGATGGCAACAAAACACTTTTGGAGTGACATTGAAACCAATTACATGCTTGACGAAATGAGGGATTAAAATATTCTTTATTTTCTACAAGATGTATGTTCATGTTTCCAGGTAAAGTGGCGAGATGTTTTTTTTAAAAAGCTGCGACATGAAGTTTACGTTTACATCACGTCTTATTCTGTGAGTTTATTGGCTCGTTGCAAAGCAGAAATCCAACTACTGCCTCATGCAGACCCGGAATTTCCCCATTATGTGATTACTCAAGTGCACTGATGCGTTGACTGGATTACTGACAAAATCTGATTCTCTGCAGTTATCGGATTATTAAGTGCATGTAAAAGCACTCACTATAGCATCAAAAACTAAAAGCAACAGAAAAGGTCATTTTAAGTTTAAAAGTTCAAGAATTTTTTATTTGCACTTATTAATAACCCTGGGAACAGAAACAGATTTATTTTATTTTACTTTTAAGATCTCTGTGAGTCTGAATTTTGAGTTTTTTGAGTTGTGCGATCCTTTAAGCTTTGTCTTTGCTGTTGTACAGAATGATAAAGCTGCTGTAGTAAATTCTGTGTAGGACATGATCATCATTCAAAATCAATATATATTGTGACACGTATCATATCCTGGCCTCTGTATCGTGATACATACCATATCATGAGGTTGTAGGCAATACCCAGCTCTATTATTTACTATGGTATACAAGGAACAATCTGAAGGTCACAGGGTTGGTGTAACCTTAGTCATGTCTGCTGAACCCACACCATGTCTGAACAAGTGTTTAATAAATAATTTGCTCTGCCAGAAGGAGTTGGAGTGACAGATGGAATCAAACGTATTCTGTGGTGAGTAGTGTGTGTATGGCTATTAGCCTGTTAGCAGTTAGCTGCTTGTTTGTGTAGTTTTCTTGGGTATTTCCTGGTTCTGAGTTGGCGCTACTACAGATGGAAAAAGACACCATAACCGGTCTTACGGGTCAAGGCTGGCGCGGAATGACTAAACCACTGCAGATGTTCTTTCTGAACTCATTGAAAAGTTAAAATAATATATGGAACATTACATAAACATTACATTTAAAAATTGGCACCATGTCTTAAACTTGTTTTTACACATGCTTTACCTGCTTCCTGCACATCCCGAATCAGATCCTGTGCGACTTGGCCGGTGTAGAAGGCCTCGGCCCCCTGTTTGGCAATGATTTCCAGGGTGTCAGCGAGTTTGGGGTACCTGAGTGTGTCTCCCACACCAAGAACCGTTTTATTCTTGTGACAGAACAGTTCACTAAAGATGAGACAGAGAACCACAGGATGAAAAACCTCATTTATACAGTCCAGGCCGCCATTACTTATTACTATGTTATTATTTTAGGCTTATCATCCACTAAATATTTAACTATTTCAGTCTACCATGAAAAACTACTGTGGATTATTCAGTAACAACTATCAATTACTCTGTAAAAACTATGAATTATTCAGTATCCACTATAAATTATTCAATGAGTTTTTCAGTATTTACTATGAATCATTCAGCAACTACTATGAACTATTTAGTAGTAGTAGTAGTAGTAAAGTATTCAGTAATGTGTATGCATTATACAGTAACTGCTATGTATTATTCAGTGTCTACTACAAATTCATAAATATCTAGTATGAATTATTCAATAATGTCTATACATTATTCAGTAACTACTATTAATTATTTAGTAGCAACTATGAATTATTCAGCATCTACTATAACATATTCAGTGTCTAGTATGATTTATTCAATATTCTCTATAAATTATTCAATAATGTCTATTCATTATTCAGTCACTGCTATTACATATTAGTAAGAATTTTTAATTATTAAGTATCTCTCTTCAGTATTTACAGTTAATTAGGCATAACTGATGTAAATTACTCAGTAAAACTATGAAGTGTATGTGTAAGTTCTGTAGTTCTAAGAGTGAGTAGCTGATCTGTGGAGTTACAGACCCTCAGAGTTTAAATACATGCTATAAAACTATAAAAATGCTATAAAAGTGAATGTGTTGCTGTACCATAGTGAGGAATTTTGCACCATTGGTTTGATGAATTTATGCTGCAGGAATTGTGCGAGGTACTCCGGCATGGGGAAGCCGTCTCGGGCCAGTTTAATGATTGGCTCAAACAGTCGAGCCCATGGCAGTTTCCCATACAGAGCGTGAGCACGAGCATAACCACGCAACTCCCCTGGAACTCCAATCCACTGTGGGCCTGCAGGGGAGAAAAAACAATGAGAGCATTGAAGTAAAAAAGTCACAGATTAAAGCGGAGCCAAGACATGTTTGGGTTTCTTCTTATCGGCTACTGCACACTGAACACGTAGCGCAGCATCGCACTGTGTAGCAGAAAGTACAAAGCACAGCTACACCACTAAGTTCATTTTACACTCATATAGATTTAATGGAATAAAAACATCATTTAGTGAATTTATCATGTTTGGTATCTTCATAAACTAAAAGGCATGAGGTGAAGTTATTATGCAGCTAGGCTAGTAAGATTATAACAGATTAGCATGTGTCTGTTTATCTTAAAGACTTTACACTGGCCTTCGTGTTAATGTTACTGTAGCATGTCTTGCGCTACCCCAGGCTCAAGGAGGACACTGGAGGCAGGGTTTGCAGCAGCCATTTCAGTTTAATTCACAAACCAAATAAACACAACAACCAAACAGAACCAATGAAACCAAAACAAAACCAACGCTAAGTTGACCACTGTTCTGTGGCTTAAGCTAGACTTTTCAGTCCTTTTAAAAGTAAGCTTTTCAATTCTGTCCTCAGTGTTTTGTTGTTGCTGCTGCTGCCTGTCCCTCTCTCTCTCTCTCTCTCTCTCTCTCTCTGTTCCCTCTCTGCTCTTTTTAAAAGCGCTTGAGCTGAGAGGGAACGAGTATGGAAGGCAAATCCAGCCAAAAAAGTAAAAAGTTAAAACAATAAAATGTAAAGGCAAAGCTCTTTTTGCCATTTCTTTTTCCAAACATCTGCACAAATATCCTGCCAGAACTGACAATGAAATGAAATACCTGCTGGTGATTTACTTTTCATTTCACACTTTGCTTTTTCATTTTCAAACTGACCAACATACAAATATATGTTAATTAGCCGTAGGCAGGGCTACGGGGTACATTTTAGGACATCCTCAGACCTCTGCGTCAGAACGGCATCATTCCTCAAGCTAAACGACTTTGAGTCTGGAGAAAAATCACCGTCATGTCTCTGATCTGGTGAAACTGAATGTCAGACCAAACGGCCTGTACTAAAGCCTCCTCCAGTGTTAAGAGTGAGGCTACAAGTTGAAGCATTTACTGAAGGATTTACTGAAACACTAAAACATACACAATAAAGCACATTACAAGCTTCAAATGTCAGATTTTACAGTAGTGCTGCCATCAGTGTTTTACCCAACAAGGGAAAGTCAATGTACACCACCGTTAGCTTGGTAATTGTCTTTACTTTACTTGGCACTGACAGTATAACATGTTATTAACACTACTTATAATGCATTATATTAACAATTCATAATGTATAATAAACATGGCTATGAAGTGTAATTCATTTTTATAAATGTTTATAATCATGTTTATAATGCCATATGAATGCATTATAACATGTTATAAATGTGTTTATAGATGCTTACAAACGTGACATTCATAGAAAGTGTTACCACTGACTCCTTTTTAAATGCTTTTTAATAAGGAGATTTAAGCTATCAAAATATCCTACCTGGAGTTTTATTTATGGATCTACCAATACATAAGTGCTGCAGTAGAACATTTCGACAAGGATTCTCTCTAGAGTCAGTGTTTGGTTTGTCCGTTCTGGGCTACTGTGGGAACATGCCCAGAGGCCTCTGTTGGAAGAGAAGCTGCTCATATGTAGATTTAAAAGGGCTCATTCAAAGATAATAAATACACAACAACTCATAGTTACAGGTGATTACACACAAATGAAAATGTACTTTTGTATACTGTATTCCATTTCCGCCAATAGAGCCCCTGAAATCTCACGCACTGCACCTTTAAAGTGGGGGAAAATCCTGCCATACTGGGGTTGAGCTCTGCTTGAGATGCTGGCATCAGAAAGTGACTTTATTTATCCGTTTAGTCTTAAATCACCGAGATTAGGAAGAATTCTATATTCATTTTTAATTTAATTGTAGAGGTTCGTTCATTTTCACAACAAAAGCCTTTGTGCTGATGTCAGGAATGAAAAATAAACGTGCTGTTCCTCGTTTCGACATAACCCCTGTTATAGCTTTAATAGCAGAGTTTTGGAGGAGCGCCAGTGGTCTGGTTTCACAATCATATTGTTTAGTTTACAGAGCGGCTCCCACACTTAGTTTAGAAAAGCATGTGTGTTTCTTTGTTTTATTTCCGCCTTTTGGTTATGAATAGATTGTCACGTTTACACACCGGCTGCAGGTCTCAGATGTCAGAATCATCTCTCAGAACGACGAAGAACGAGTAAAACAGGCTTTCCGCGGTGATAAATTCTGTTTATCTTACAGATATCTGTCATCTTACACAGAAAAGACTCAACTTACAAAACAGCCAGAAAACATGAGCACTCAGGACACTCCGATTGAAGTGATAACGTGATTAGGTAACATTTTTTGAGGACACACTGTGACTGCTCACCATGTCATTCACCCCTTAAACTCTACGGGTCTCTACCTGTATGAGAGTAAGGAACTGAAGACGACAACAGCTGTGAGAAACCACGTTATTAACCCTCTGAGTTCATTCTCTCAATTTGCTCATATCTTCTTAAATCCTCCTTTAAAGGCTCTTCATATAACATGATGCTCATATGTTTTATATCAAAATACTCTGTTATCTTCACCACTACTTTCCAAAACCGCTGCAGCAACTTCAGCAGCTGTAAACTCTCTGCATGCCATTTCACATGTGTCTCTGATGTGGACCGAATGAAGAATGAAGGGTTTACGGCATGATGGTCAGTGCTTAGTGATTTCCTTTGTGTCCATTGGTCAGTTTCACACAGAATGTAGACGGACACATGAATCCAACAGTTCCACATGGTGAGAGGCAGATGACGTGCATCTCAGCCCCTCTTCATAGCCTCATAACTCCGGATGTAAGTCATGTATGATCTTGTGATAAGATGGAATAGAAAAGGCTGACTCTACAGATTCAGGAAATGTTTGCACTGTATTTCTGTGCTGGATTATCACAAAGGTACACAAACAAAAAGATCTTTAGAATTAAACAGACTGATCAGAGACATGTGAAATGGTGTGCAGAGAGTTTACAGCTGCTGAAGTTGCTGCAGCGGTTTTGGAAAGTAGTGATGAAGATAATGGAGTATTTAAATATAAAACGTATGATCATCATGTTATATGAAAAGCCTTTAAAAGAGAGTTTATGAAGAGATGAACAAATCGAGAGAACCCAGAGGGTTAAAGGGTTAAAGAGCCATCCATTGACAGGATCTTTAGAGAATTAAAAATGTGTTTGCTCTAAAGACCCCTTTTTTGCATGTTTATTTTTTAAAAGTGTAACCAGTGCCAGACAGGTAATTGGGAGGGTCAGGAGAATTCTCAGTGGGATGGTTTAGTTTTGGGTCACTTACTCTGAGCTAATGTATAAATGCATGTAAGCAGAAAGACACTCAGACAAACTATGTTTCAGACAAAAATGTTACATCATTAATTTATTCATTGTGTGTCTGTAGTATTTTAAGGCTTAAACCAGGAGGAAGGAGATTAACCCGTGGAGAGACATAAGACGGAGCTGAAGTTAGCTTCTCATTTATGTTTCCTGTTTCACCTGTACGAGTGCTAGCATGTAACTTTTTTTCACTGTTGTAACATGTGAATCATGAAGATGGACAGCAGCAGCAAAAACTGAAAAAAAACAAGGTGCTACTTAAGGAGGATGAGGACAGAACCGAGCAGGTGGGCAGTGAGAAATGTTGTCAGGACCTCAATTTACTTAGCTAGCATTTGTTTTTAGCATATTATAGGTCATGATTTTGTCACATTTAAGACAAAAGTGTTCACCAGTTTTTATTTTATGACTAGCCAGATACTAGAGGTCTGCACTGGACTGTTTTTAGTACTGCTCCCGCACACACAGTTCCGTCAAGGTGAACTGACATCCAGTATCTGACAATAATGTGTTTGTCTGTTCACAAATACATTATTCTCTGCTGAAATAACACAGCAGCCATGGTCATCAGGCTCACTGTGAGTAACTTTACCAAACGCCATTTATTCCCAGTAAACACAGATCGACTGCTTCACACCTCTTCAGAATGACTTTTTTTTACTGTTTTGCTGTTATCATTTTATATTGTTTATATATGATTTAGTGATTGTTCTATTTTATTTAGGCTGTTCATTAATTTGTGGGATTTCTCTTCATGCGTGCTTCGTCCCACTCCTGCATGCAGTGGGCTGGTTATCCATCCGCTCCCGCACACAACACTGAGAATTAGTCCCGCAGGATATTGTGGTGGGTACAGCAGGAGTACAGACCTCTACTAGATTCCTTGGTTTTCTCAGTAAAGCACATAAATAACAAATAATAGATAAGTTTGGAGCCCTGCTGGTAACATCCCATATAAATAAAAAATAATGCATAGCCACACCTTATTAACACGTGGGAATAAGATCCTAATGTGTGGCCAACACTTAGTAAGGCATGGCAATGACATCGTGCCTTACTAAGTCAGTGGTGGCCACACATTAGGCTCTTGTTTTCACACCTTACTAAGTTGTGGACACGCTTTATCTTTAATTTATACAGGATGTCACCAGCGGGGCTCCGTAGATAAGAGTAAGTAATTAAGAAGAAAATACATAAATTTTGGAATTACAAATTACAAGAGTTACAAATGCAACGTGTTACGGGATGGGGTGGTGGACCCAAGTTCAGAGTCGTTATTTATTTTTATTTATTTATTAATTTATTAATTTTGCAGACAGGGATTTTGCCCTAATAAAGGTAGAGGGTGTGTGTGAGACAAGTGATAATGCTATTCTGATACTCCGAGGCATCAGCCTATCGCGGATTCGAGCCACTGCTCGGTGTATCGGCATTTTACTACTGTGCCACTGGTGAGGTATAAGAAGAGGTGGAGAAACCACTTGAAGAAGTGGTGGGATGAAAATAATGGTGGGAAAGGGCAAACAAAGAAGAAGCCGAGATACAACGTGCAAAATTACAAGTACAAAATCTTCCCTCAGTCACAAAGGGAAAAGCTTTCTTTTTGTTCCTGAAAGGACAGAAAACTGAGAGTTCACCACAGCACAACACTGAGCTCCTAACTATTCAGCTCAGCTTTCTGCTCTTTTTCTTTCAGATCTCTTTTGCTTTTACCTGAATTTCTCTTTCCTTTTTCTTCTCCCTTTTCTGTTCCTTCTCTTTTCCTGTCTTTTTCTCCAATGCAAACCTCTGTCTACCGTGTCATTCATCCTTCTACAAAGGTGCAACAGAGAACTGTTGCTGGTGTGGGTTTTTAAGTTCAGCCCAACAAGTGTGCCTGCTCATTGCTAATTAGCACTGGGGATTCTGGGAATTGGAGTTCTTTGACCGAGATCCACCTGCTCTTCTACTGTGCTGCCTCGGCCCCATGCTGGCCACCGGCGGTACAGGCTGACCTCTTACACCATGGTGAGTGTGTGTAGAGTTGGTGGGCTGGTCTGCATCATATAACTTCTGGTAGGAAAAACGGTCCCACCCTGGCCCTGAGCATAACCCAGGATGCTAATGCTACCGATAGTCAACTGTTTACCGAATATTTTGTTATCAACATTTGAGCATTTTGGGATCAGCTATATAGGACTATTGCAATGAAGTGTCCCCCCCCCAGTTAAAGTTCGGAGTTTACATTTCTGGGCAAAAAAATTGGCCAAGCCCAAAATATAATAGTTGTTACTGATGGTTTTGGATGGTAAGAATCCATAGAGAAATGTTAAAATCTCTCCACACTTACTTACTGCAGCTGTTTCTTTAATGATTTGTTCTTAAGACCATTAAAAGATTAATGTTTGCCATTTTGGACTCTGCCTATTTTTTTGCCCAGGAGTTTAGAGACCAACCTGTGGTGAGTTTGACGGTTTTGGGACAGTGCTGCAGCAGGTCCTGCCTGAAGTTCTTTGGAACTGTCTCTCTGGAGCTGATTACTTTCACTTTTCCTGAAAAAGATGGACAGCAGATCTGAGACAGACTGGTCTCTGTGGAATTCCAAAGAAAAGCTCATCACAATCACAAATCACAATCCTTATATGCCAAGTACAAATGTACAGCAGATAATATACAATACTTCAATCACTCTGAAATACTTATTTAATTGCGTGTACAGATGCATCCCAAATAGGATGTGTATGGAAATGATGTGTCAAGAAAAGTTATTATTATCAGTGATATATGTGCACTTAAAGATATGCAGAGGGTTTTGCACACTTTAACAGTAAATACATTGTGTGCTGTTAAATATAGAAATGCAAATGACTCAATAAAAAATAAATTAGCAGACAAAAACTGGGGTTGGCTCCAACGGTTCTCTTGTTTCCCAGGAAAAACAGTCCTGACTGTAAATTAAGTTGCACATTATCTTGCATCAGCCCAAACAATAACATTGGCCTAAAGTCTTAATCTACTCAAGCATACAGCTGTAACAACACAAACACATCTCTGTCCCTGTAACCAAGGAATGAAAGAAGCATCAGTGTTGATCCACTCAGCATTGATGGCTTCAAACAGCTCAAAAACATTGCTGAGCTAGTTTGTGTTCTGTGTTCAGGCAAAAGTAACATTAGTTTTTGCTTACTTTAGTCTGGAACTCAGATAGGCTAACCTTAGCTAGCGTGGCTAGACACATTAACAAGGAACTAAACAACGCTAATGTTGCTAAGTCACAATAAAGGAATAAGAGCTTGAATTTCAAACTGAAAGTGATATATATACATCTGTCAACACCTTTCAGGACACTTGTGTTGATAAGAACTAATAAGAACTGAACTGTTTTTCTCAGGTAAACCCTTTTCAGCTAGCCGTTAGCTCCAGCTTGCGCTGAGCCAATATGTTTCATTTGAATTTTGAATTTGAGATGAGAGTGATTGTGCAACGGAGCAGTAGATACTTTTACTGATTAAACCCCTATTTCACCCACAATAAAGGGGAACTTCTCAATATTTCTGCATAATTCATTGTTTAAGATGTAAACAGAGTAATTTAAAGTGGTTTGGTGTGAACTGGCTCAGATTTCTTTACAGTGGTGGTGATAGGAACCAGGGGTCACCATACCACAAACATAGACATTTTATTTACTATGTACTTTACATAATGTGTATCGCCAGACGTTTTGAAGTATCATGATCTTACATATATGTAAGCCATGCAAACCTCACCCTCACAACCTGACCCCACTGATACTACTGCTGTTGCGACATGAACTAATCAAAATTATTCACTTGAACCAATCAATCATTTAAACTAATTCAAATTAATCAATCACCCATTGTAGAACTGACTCTGTGTTTTTCCTTTCTTTCCTTTGCCGAGTTGAACAGCTGCCCATCCTGTGCGTCTGATGCTGCTGCCTCTTCTGCCTTGATTGGGTGCCACTGCTTGTCGTGCAAACCTCACCCCCACAACCTGACCCCACTGATGCTGCTGCTGCTACTGCATGAACTTAACTATTCAAATTAATTGTTTGCTCCTCCTTTTACCCTGTTTTTGTACTATAATACTTTATACTAACAATGTTTTACTATCCGGCGTCGACCAGAGGAGGATGGGTTCTTGGTTCCTCTCAAGGTTTCTTCCTGTTTCTCTAGGGAGTTTTTCCTTGCCACTGTCGCCACTGGCTTGCTCATGGGGGCTTGGACCCGGATTTCTTTTCTTTTTAATGCTCATTTCCTTGTAAAGCTGCTTTGTGACAACAACGGTTGTAAAAAGCGCTATATAAATAAACTTTACTTACTTACTACTTACTACTTACTATATGCTCTATCACCCAGCATCAGTGCAGTTTTGTGTCTCATTTTCTCTCTCAGCCTGCTTTTTTGGGCAGAAAAAGGAGAGGTTCAGGTTTCATCTAGGTCTGCAAAACATCCTTAAATCTTTTTAAACCTGAAAGAGAATACTACCTCTTCAAAATGATAAACTGGGCCAACTTTGCTTCCATAACAGCCTCAGTGTTTTTGCATGTAACTGCATGAAAACAGCAGTAACTCAGAAATGTGATAAGAGATGAATAAATCTGTGCCCGGGCCTGATACGAGCACAGGTTACTGGCCTGGAGCTCTGAGTATGTATATCTCAGATTATGAATATATGTGTCCTCTGGGTGCTGCTGTAGAACCTGAGAGCGTGTATTGAGTTATTACAACAATGACACAGTTACTGAATAAGTAGCACTGCAGTCCTAATATTACTGACACTGGAGCTCAGATTCATCTGATTAACCAGACAAACTCCAACTGATACCACAATGGACAAGAAACCTGCTCACTTCCAGGAAAACACAGGTCTGATTTTAGATTTGTTTGAACAAACAAATAACAGAAAGTGAGGATTTTGTTAGCTGTGTTAGCTGAATGTATAAGTCAGTCTACCTGAACCCCTTAAACTCTGTATATACTGAATATACATACTGTCTGGATGTACTGAACCATTTATAGTAGTTACTGAATAATTCTTATTAGATACTGAAGAATTCATAGTAGTTACTGAAGAATTCATAGTAGATACTGAAGAATTAATAGTAGATACTGAGTAATTCATAGTAGAAACTAAATATTCCATAGAGTGTCCTGAATAATTCATAGTGGATCCTGAATAATTAATAATAGCTACTGAAATTCATAGTGGGTACTAAATAATTAATATGATATCATTAAAAATTCACAGTAGATACTGAATAATAAGTGTGAAAATTAATAACTGAATATTAAAGTTTGTGTTGAAGGGGTATGTTTGGTTTTTGCATCAACATCAGCAGCACTTTATGTGTGTGACTATTTTTCAGTGCTGTAAAAACATGTCAAGTTATTAGAGTACGTGGGCTGTGAGTATTTTTAGAGTGGAGAGGACATGTAGAGACATAAAAAAGCTCCTGCTAAAAATATTTCCTGCTAAAGGCCACTGACACAGGAAACGGTCAGATAAAGAGAGACCAGCTCAGTGACTAAGGGCTGAAATGCCCTGTTTGACCACAGAGCCGTTCACCTTCCTCAGCAGTTCTTCCTCAGATTTACTGCTGCAGTAGTTGTGGCTCTTTGCTTTTGTTGGCCAGAGTAACTGTTTACACTTTCAGCTCTCAGAGCTGCAGGCCAGTAACCTGCACAGGTAAAAAATGTGGTGAATGATGATGGGAACACATCTGCAGAACACTTAATGAGTAAATAATGTGCTTATGTGACATGTTAGGCTGAAATGGGCTTTTTATTCGCTAGTTTCTTATCCAGATTCTCCATTCCATTTTTTATTCTCTATTAAATAGCTTTTGATACCATTGAGCACAAGATTTTAATCTAGCATCTTGAATGCTGGGTTGGCCTCTCGTGCACAGTTTTAGAATGGTTTAAATATTTAGGTAATAGGCAGTTCATGGTTTCAATGGAAAATCATTCATCAGAAAGATTTGGCCTTTCTTGTGGAGTCCCTCAAAGTTCAGTTCAGAAACTTTAGCTTCTTATAGCAAACCTGAAGTAGGAAATCTGGGTTTGATCTTAGACTCTGAGCTCTGTTGTATCTGCATGTAAACACAGTGATTAAAGCAGCTTTTTATCATGTGAGAAATATCAAATTCAGCCTTTTCTCTCACAGAGCGATGCAGAGAAACTTGTTCAAGGATTTGTTACAAGCAGTGTTGTTCACTGTAATGATCTTCTTACTGGACTTTCTAAGAAAAGTGCCCATCCTAACAAAAACAAAAGAGAGATCATATCACTCCCATTTTAAAAGAACTGCACTGGCTACCTGTATCGCTCAGAATAGATTTTAAAGTTCTGCTACTATTTTTTAAAGCTCGAAATGACCTTAAAGCACCACTTACATCACAGAGTGTCTGCGTTTATGTACCTACAGGTGATTTTAGATCTGCAGATATTGACCTCCTGCAGTCACCTTCTGTAAAATACAGAAAACGTGGAGAGACTCTTTCTGTTATTCTGCTTCAAAACTCAGTTCACCTTTTATTAGCCAGTCAAGCTCACAGCTCACTTTTAAGAAGCATCTAAAAATTTGTCTTTTTTACTTAGCATTTAATTAAAACTCTACGTCTCATGGTGTTTATCTTTTAATTTGTGTCATTTTTTATGATTATTCATAAATTCATTATTATGATAAATTCATACTTACAATTTTTTGTATTACTGTTTATCACCTTTGTGTGGAGCAATTTGAGCTGCCACCGGCATGAAAAGTGCTATATAAATAAAAAATATTATTATATTATATTATAAATTATTATTCCACCTTGAATGGTGCGGCAGTTACAGTCTGGTGCCTAGCTGTGTGTATCCACTTGCAATTTTGCAATGATCTGATATGCGATTTGCTGTTGCACAGAAGCTTTTAATGAGACTAAAATACAGATGTGTGCTTTTTATGATTTTCAGATGCCTTTTAATGAACTGGGTCATTATCTGCAGATCAGTATCTGCAGATCTAAGATAATTAACAGACGGACATTCAGGAGCTTTAAGGTCATTTGGAGCTTTAAAACCAGCAGCAGAGCTTTAAAATCTCTCAACAAGTCAGTGCAGTGTGTAAACAGGGGTGATCTGAGCTCTGTGTGTTGGTGTTGTGAGGATCTGTGCTGCTGCATTCTGTATGAGTTGTTTGCTCCAGTAAGAAGATCATTACAGTGATCAACTCTGCTGAACAAACACAGTAACAAGTTTCTCTGCGTCTCTCTGAGAGAGAAAAGGCTGAACTTTAGTGATATTTCTGACATGATAAAAAGCTGCTTTAGTGACTGTGTTTACATGCAGGACTAAACAGAGCTCAGAGTCTAGGATCACACTCAGGTTTCTTGCTGCAGGTTTGGTGTGTGAAGCTAAAGAGATTAAGTCAATAAAAGCACAGAATAATGCTATTAACTGCTGTTTCATTTTGTTTTCTCTGAGTAATTTCCCCCTCCACCAAAAATACCTGGTCCAATCGGGTCACCCCATTAAAAACAATTTTGCTATGCCCCTGGGTTTTTTTTCTTCTGTACAGTAACTCATCTCAGTTCATAATTTTTTCCTGACATTCTGGTTGTTTTTGTGAATTTAGTGGAAGGAAACTTGCCGACTGGGGCAAGTGCTCAGAGCTGTGGGTCGCTTCCCGTTTCCTGTCCCTGGACATACCACTCGAGTCCATGATGGTGAAGATGGCTCCGCCCCCTAGCCCCATGCTCTGAGGGTTCACCAGAGCTGTGCACAGAAGCGCAGAGATCGCAGCGTCTACCGCAGAACCTCCTTCCAGCAATATGTCTCTGAAAACATAGAGATTCTGTTAGAACAGCATTAAAGGTTAATTCTATTCAAAATTCAAAACTTCTCCAGAATTAAATGGTTAATATGTAAACAGAGTAATTCAGAGTGGTTTGGTGTAAAACACTCCGTTGCCTGTAGTGTGCTGGTTACCCGCCCACTCACGCACACAGCACTGAAAATTAGTCACGCACTGCAAGATATTGTGGTGGGTCCTGCAGGAGTGCAGACCTCTATTACAGAGATCTATGCTGAGAAAACTGGGGCATTTGACTATAGAGCCAATGGCCTGAAATACTGAAGAGACCTTCACTGTTCATCAGTTCATAAAAACAAACCTCACACACATACATGCAATGTGTACTGTGAACAGTTCCTGCTGAAATATCACATTTCTGTTACGCAGGAACGCCAGTCTGATGAATGAGTTTGAGGGCAGGTGAGATTCAGAGGAACACTGATACAGTTCACTTGCCATCGCTCACACTCACAGAGCTGAAGAATCTCTGTCCTGTTCCTTCTTGTTTTGAACAAAAGCTTTAGAAACACTCACCATCAAAACCTCATCTTCTATTCAGCCATCTGAGTAAGGTTTGATTCTCACTGTTAGCTCTGAGCTGATACTGTGTATCTTTATCTTCTCAGCTTCATGTTCATCACAGTATCTTCCTCGGAATGAAGAGTTTTGTCTAAATAATGATTGACAGTTTTCTAAACTATTGCTAAAGGTCTGTATATATGTGAATGTGTCAGTTTTTATGGCATTACAAAATTCATAACACATAACGCTACTTTTAAAATAGTGAGGAAAATTAAGGCATCATATGAATTTGTCTCATCATCATTTAGACTAGGTCTCATCTTGGCCTTGTCATTATTTGGACTCTGTCTCATCTCGGTCTTGACATAATTTGGACTTGGTCTTGACTTGGTCTTGACATTATTTGGACTCTGTCTCATCTCAGTCTCGATAACATTTGGACTCTGTCTAATCTCGGCCTCAACGTTATTTGGACTTGGTCTCATCTCAGTCTTGACATCATTTGGACTTGGTCTCATCTTAGTCTTGACATCATTTGGACTTGGTCTTATCTCTGTCTCTCCATCATTTGCACTCTGTCTCATCTCAGTCTCGATAACATTTGGACTCTGTCTCATCTCAGTCTCAACATCATTTGCTCTCAGTCATGATGCTGAACTTTTTTCTTTCTTTCATTATTATATGTTAACAAAACCTTCGACAAAATTAAACTGTCCTTTTTCTACGTGTTTAACCCCATAAATGGCTAGGGCCCCCTGGTGGACTCTGGATGATAAGTCTTAGTATGTAATAAACCTAGGATTTTAAGGGGTTAAAAAAGTTCACTTCATTGGTTCCAAAGTTCAGTCATCCTCTGAGGGCAGATCAGATTGTTATTATTCAGTTTTTATCTAATAATAAAACTATGTGCTTGAGGTTTGGTTTATATTCAGTTGACTTTAGATGATGATTTTAAATAAATTTTAGAGAAGTGAGGAGGAAAACCTCACCATCATAATAATAATTAATACTATATTTAGGCTATACATTACTTCATGTAGCTATATGATATGCATTGTACTTATGCAAAAGAGACTTGACACTCAGCAATTTGCATGCTTTGTTATGTCCAATCCAGTAAGCATTGCATGTTCCAATGATTAAATTTTTTTGCCAGAGTATCATTGTACAGTATTATTGTATCAAGCATAATAATAGTACATGTAATATCAGTTTCAGTTATCTACAGTTCTGTCTCAATAACAGCACTCTCTCCTTCACAACACAAAGGCTGAGAAACTCTACCCTCAGACACTGAGAAGGACGTTGGAAAAGTGACCCCATTCCACAGTGGGCTGTAAACCACTCTGTGAATGTCCCACACTGTACCACACAATTACTAACATTTACATATTTCACCTTCCTAAACTCTGAGTAGGCAGGTCTCTTCCACTTCAGAGTAAAACGGAATATATTGCAATACGTTATACATATGTGTTAGGAGTAATGAGTTACAGAGTAACACGTTACTGTAATTGCACTTGTTACTTTGATAGTAACAGGTAACGTATCTACTTACCTTTTCAACTACAATCACTGAAATTTTAATTGTCTTGTTATTCGTTACTTTTATTTTGCTTGAAAATATGAATGGACTGCAGACTATACCAGACTAAAGCAGCCTGTTTCCCCAGCTTCTGTTTATGATTTAATGTCACACAACCTCATGGTGGCCCAATAAATGAGTAAATCAATCAATGTTAGCCCACATAGTGGCCAACAGTTCAGGCAGTGTGATCTCACTGTCCTGGAAATTTGGGCGTTATCCTCCCCGCCTCAAGATCAAGGACAGAAATACTCTAGTGAGCTGTACACTTAGTACTGGTGTGAGAACTTTATACACATCAAACAATAGTAATTGTAATCTTCTGAAGCAGCTGGTAGAACAACACTAATCACGAAAACCCCCAGTGCTATAGAGCTGCTGACCAACAAGCCCCCCATCCAAGCAGCCATGTCGATTTCAAATACAGGAATTCATCTGCATAGTCTATAGGCCAGGCAGAACTAAACAAACGTTTGCTAGATATGCTACTGAAGACATGCAGCCTATATCAACAGTTAGAATTTCGACATTTAGAAAGTTTCCCTAGTAACTAATTATGTTTATATGCAGTAATTGGTAAAGTGATTCAATTACTTTTAAAAGAAGTATGTACTAACTGTAACTAATAATTTCCAGTAACCTGCACAACACTGGTAATACATAGAATATATTACATTTTGTATGCAACTGTCACGTATTCGGCCAGCCAGCCTCTAAACTACGATTCCCAGAATCCTCCGCTTCATCACATGACTCCAGGAAGATCATCGACAGCCTATCACCGCTCTAGCTCCCCTGAATATTGATCATTTTCACCTGTGTGTTTGTCATGTGATCTATCTAGTTTAGTATTTTAGCCCGGGCTTTAGCGTAGGACCTTTGCGAGGTATTGTTTTCTAGTAAAACTACTGAGCGTTCTTTCTGGTTTTTGATCTCCCCTGTTCTGACCTTGTGTTTTGACTTTGTTTTTCGGATTTGCCCTTTTGTACTGTTGCCTGGTTTGCTGGATATGTGGTTTTTGACTTTTGCCAGTGTTTTGGACTCTGATCTGCCTAGCCCTATTGTGTTTTGTTCGCCTGCTGTGTATTTTGCTGTGACTGTGTACTGACGACGATAACTCTAAGTAAAGCTTCTTCACTTTTTACATCCGCGAGCGTCTGCTCTCTGGTCGCACGTTACAGAATACCTCGCCTTATATGCAGATGGCGGATTTAGAAGCTTTTCAGAAGGCACTGATGGAACAAGTACAACTACTCGGCAGACATCAGCAAGTTCTTTCTGGGGTAACTAACTCACTTGAATTGCTAGCTCAACAGCAAGCTGAACAACACTCTCAGCTAGCCCAGCTCTTAGCAAGCGTTAAAGGTTTAAGCAGTCAGTTACAGACTCTGAACGTTACTTAAACTGAAGTTAAACCCGCTGCTCAGGATCTGAAATCTCTTGCTGTTTTTCCAGTTAGTAAGCCTGATAAGTTTGACGGTAACCCAGATAAATGCCGAGGGTTTTTACTCCAATGTTCCGTTTATTTTGATAATTCTCCCGCTAGTAATGACCAGGCGAAGATTTCCTTCATAGTTTCCAGGCTAGCGGATAAAGCATTAGAGTGGGCTACCGCAAGCTGGCATAGAATACACCGTCTTTCTTATGTGCAATTCTTACGTGAATTCAAAACTGTAATTGACCATGCTTTTGAAGGGAGAATTAGTGGGGAATTATTAGCTCAGCTCAAACAAGGGGCTCGTTCTGTAGTAGATTATGCTTTGGAGTTTCGGACTTTAGCAGCCAGTAGTGGTTGGAACGAGGCTGCATTGGTGGTTGTGTTTAGACAAGGACTCAGACTCGACATCTTGAACGAACTAGCATGTAAAGATGACGATTTGTCCTTAGATGAACTAGTGAATCTGGCTATCAAAATCGATCATCTGTTACAACATCGGGCCAAGAAGAAGTATGACAAGAATGAGAGATCACCTTTGTCTGTATTGTGGGAAGTCGGGTCATCAGATCAAGGATTGTGCTGTGAGACCACAAACTAGCAAGGCGCCAACCCTTGGAAAGCACGTGGAGTCTACTCTGCGTGCTAATGTGGTGAGTGTTCCCTACAAAAGGGTTGGTCTCTAAATCATTCATGCTACCTATCAGTATATACTGTCATTCCGATTCTGTTATTGTTTCAGCCCTTTTAGATTCCGGAGCGGAAGGGAACTTTATTCAAGCCAGGATCGTGAAGGAACTCAACATTCCAGTGGAGGAACTGCCTAATGCCTTGAAAGTGGTAGCACTGGATGGAGGACCGGTAGGAGCTGGAACCATTTCCCAGATCACCAAGCCCCTAGTCGTCCAGACCAGTGCCCTTCATCAAGACACATTGTCTTTTTTAGTTCTAGAGCAAACTGAATTCGAAATCATTTTAGGACTCCCGTGGCTAGAGAAACACAACCCCTTGATTTCATGGTCCGAGCACACAATTACCAAGTGGTCAGATGAGTGCTTGCAAACCTGCATTATTTCCCCCTCACTCTCTGTTTGGTCCACATCAGTAGAAAGCCCAGATGAAGAAAAAGCCCAGTTCCACATTCCCCCTGCGTATCAAGACCTCAAAGAGGTTTTCAGCAAAGTTAATGCCACATAGAACCTATGACTGCACCATAGACTTGATTGAAAATCATACATTCCCTAAGGCCTGAGTTTATCCCTTAACCCAGGAAGAACAGAAGGCGTTAGATGTGTACATTCAAGAAGTGCTAGAACAAGGCTTTACCATCTACCTCCCCAATCTCTTCTAGTTTCTTCTTTATTAAGAAGAAGGATGGAGGACTTCGGCCTTGTATCGATTATCGAGCACTCAATAACATTACGAAGCCCTACCCTTATCC